TTTTTCTCAGCCGCCCAGGGCTGTGGGATAAAAATCTGTAGTCAACGTGTAGAATTTTGACATTTTTAAGAACAATTTCTTTCTCTGCAAGTAACCCAAAAGCTGTAGAGAGCTATGTTGCTAACCCGAGAGTCTCGAGTTCAAGTCAGTAGAACGTCCCTGAGTCCACCCAGCCCTGATGGGTACCCCTCTCGTTAGGAAAAGCAAAGGCGGCTGGGCATAGTGCTGACCACACTATCCCTTCATATTCCGATGTCCATTAAACAGATGAAATCTACTTTATCTGCCCCATATGTGTTGGGCATGAAAGGGAAAGGATGATAATCCCAAAAAGCTACAATTTTTATAAAAGCGCCAAAAAGAACACAAAAGCAGTATTTGATCCCATCCATACCGACAAACCACAAACACGCTGTTATTATAAAGATGGAGCAATGTTTGGGAACTTTATTTATTTCTCTGTAAAAATTCATCCATTATTGATTTCAGTGATCGATATGTCATACGGAAATCCCAATAGGAGCTTCACACAATCACCACATTATGCTAAAGTTTATTTACTGGGAAAACGGGCAGGGGCATGTCGTGTATGGTATATATATATATCGTCCATTTTTTAATGTCTATACGCTGGGGGAAAGGGGTTGAGAAAATGTCGACTTTTGTGGACGCGTGTGGACTATGGGGTGGGGAGGGTGCGAGACCACGAGGAGGTCCAAACTTAAATTTAACACAAATTTCAGTCGGTCGGTACTTGTACGCTGAGTCGTGCATGAAAACAGGAATACGTGTTGGGAACGTGATGTGATCTTATGAAATTTACTATAAGCTATACACATGAATAAAAATAATATTTATAAAGCTTTATTTTCTTGCAAAAATAAACAAGTTAATTGCCCTACATTATATTTATTTTTATTTAATTTTTTTTTTACGGAGAAAAGTTATCTTGACTAGTTCCGTGTGTTGTGCGAGTGGGCAAGATGATGCTCACGGAGGGAAGTATAAATAAGTTTGTCGTGGGTTCGGGATGTTTGTTGTTTTGTTACTTTCGTGATGTTTATTGGACTACTGTACCTTGATCGTTAGCAACTCCGCAGAAACTGTCGACTGTATAAAATACCGATTACATAAAGGCAGACGACTTAATCGCCGACAGACCAACAGGTCGTATGTTCATTCGTCTTTCATACATCAGTTAGTTACATATACGCGTACTAAAAATTTCTGGTCTGAATCTACTGAATTCCATGCTGAGCTCAGTCCATTTTTTTTAACAATTTAAAAAACTTTTTGATGCGAAATAAAATCTAAAATTCAACTTTAAAACATTACTTTTTTAAAAAGAAAAAATGTATCGTCACACTTTCTGACCGCCCCTCCCCCTCGTCACTTGGATTGTCCAAATCCTTCACCTTCCTCGTAATAGTATGACGTCGTTTATAAACGTTCTCTATGCTAAATTATTCGAGATTTTTTTCACACACAAAAAAAAACATGATAAAAATAATGTGCATGGAAATAAATTCCACAAACTTCATCCTAAACATAGTTGGCAACATTAAGAATATTTGCAGCAGTTACGTACAAAAATAGCATCGATTACGGGATCGATATAGGGCCTACTGTGGAACAGTGTGTTCGAAAGGCAGAACACACTACTGCTAACCCGGAAGTCATGAGAGTGATATAGTCGGAATCCAGAACTCCAGGACATTCCTGAGTCCACCCAGCTCTGATGAGTACCTGACTCGCGTTATTGAAAGTAAAGGTGACTGAACATAGTGTGATATATCCCTGTATATGCTGTTTCACCGAAACTGTTTAGCTCTAATTTTACTGCCTCGTGGACCGCCGTGCTACTTTACTTGAAGCATAGTAAACAAAGTATGTCCATATACATATTAGATGGCCGATATGGTTAAAGATTTTAACCCCAAAATGACACATGTCTCACATTAAATTATAATCTAGCAATTATCGGCGATTGGATCGATCTTATCCCTTACTTTTAATGCTGTAAAAAATGTTAAGCGAAAAAAAAATCATAGTTACATTATCGTACTGCTAAATTCACCAATAATAATATTGCAACTAGTAGGCCTATGGGGATAGATCTACTAACTTAACTCTACTATTTTATAGAATTGCGTCCTACTATTAATGCAAATTTATTTACTGTGTGTTGTAATCTTATCGTCCTACTGAAATACTTAAAATATTAACATGACTACTAAGTAAGACTAGAAGTAAGGTCCGCCACAGAAAGACAAGACTGAAGACTAGAGACACTAGAGTAGTTACAGACTGGCCTTGAGAAGTAAGATCAGTCGTAGATTGTTTTAGATTTTAGATGCGTGTGAACGTTTTTTTTTTAAGCTTCAATAATTATTTATTTATAAACCACATGTTAAAAAAAATATTTTGCAAATTTTTGCTCTAAAAAGGACTAACCTTGCCTTTAGCAAATTCACTTTTGTTCCACCTGGTTGATCGGTTTATAGACCCTACTACAACACTAAGTCACAACAGCAGTCGCCGCAGATTCAGGACTGCGTAACCTAACAACAATCGACGCTCTGACAAGTGGGCGTTCACTATTATTACATTATGTTGATGTTTTAGGGAGGTATCCGTTGTAGAAAAGATGTCGCTTCAAATGTTAGTGTAAATACTAATTGAATCATTAAAAAGACAACTTATTTTAAATTTGTAAGTTTATTATATTAGTAGAAAGGATTTTCAGTGATTTAACACAGTGTATACTATGTGTATGTTATATTTATTGATTACTCCCCATATCAATAAATTTGTATTTGAACTGTGACCTTTTCCCGAGAATTAAAATTTAGAATCTAGACTATAACCTTTTTGTATCCCTAAAATTACAATCAAAAGACAGATGATTATAAATACTTTTAGATGTATTATTAACTTTAAACTCGGATAGATTTTTATTTTAAAAAACTACACTTCTGTGTGTATAGTCTGCAACGCCAACATTTGAACAATGTACAACATATTGGCTTCTATAAATAATTATCTTTAGGCGTTCTAGATTTTTAAAATACCATGTTAGCCAATCAGATTTCAGTTGTCGTTAAATTGTTTATACATGGCCGAAATGTAGGTCCTCTGATTTGAACTCTCCTCACTGGCCTTATGCATCTCCTGTCAATTAAAACTGACTTGATTTATAGTAGGTTAAAGACATTTAAGCTACCCCGTCGCAGTTGATTACTTGTCATCCCAACAGGTTTACATCATACTTGGTAGGTAGATTTTTTAAAGCATCGACTGTTAGTGAGTCTGATGTTTTCTGTTATAACATGCCACAACTTGCTTTTACCTCTTCAGATTTATTTCATGTGTTGCTGACTCAACCGAGTTCGATTGATTGAAGAATGTAAAGTCTCCGTTGAAAATATTATATTCATATTGAAATATAGGGCCTACTAATATACCGATTTAAGAAGATTGTGTTATAGAATCTAAGTAGATCTAGTTTTGATAGATTGATGAATGAAAATTATCAAAATTGAATCAAACCCACTTTCTTATTTCTAACATCTAAAAAATAATTTAGAATTTCAAGTCTTAACTAAGCTAAAGTATTAGGCTCTAATTATTAATGATTAACTTTAGTTAAAGTAATAAGTTCAAGTAAGTGTAACAGGCTTAAATTCTTTCAGGGGGGGGGGGGAAGGAGGGTTTAGTGTTTTAAAGCAAATATTTTCAGTGACAGCATTGGTACTGTCAAATTCACAAATTATGAATTAATGAAAAGTAGAAAATCAAACTAAATAGCGGTGTGTGATACGCCGCAGGTCGGCTCGTATCTAATATTAGATAAATTTTATATTAATTAGGGCCTATATAATATTAGGTAGTATTTCTAGTTAACTTGGAGGCGTGGTCGGTTGCTAACAACAATATGGCGTCCGGACCGGACGCTTGACTTCCGACGATTTTTCGGCCAAATTCCAGAGACCTCCTACTAATTAGTTTTTAAAATGTTTACCACGCGCAAAATGGCGGGACTTTCACGTTATAACAACAAGCTATAGGTGGCAGGGCTATATATGCCAGGAAAGCATTTTAAAATTTGCGTTGGAGAATGAAGGCTAAATTTAAAAGTTGGTTTCATCAAAAATACTAGAACTTTTTAAATATCGATTTCCATATTACAAAATTGATTTCCATAGTAAAGCATTATTAGTTTTATCAGTCTATGAAAAAATAAATCAAATATCGTCAACCCTTTTTTTATAAGACCAGCCACAAAAATGACAACCAAATTTTTTTTGAAAAAAAAAACACGTGACCACTATTTGAGATCACTAGTGAGGAACTCTTGTGCATGGCCACTTAAAAAGTCTAACCTGATTTGTGGTTTTCTTTACCTTCAAGGGTTAGAAGAGTTGTCATGGAGAGATGTGTTGGGCATGGCAGTGATTGACAATAAATATTAAATTAAGTAATTTAGTTTAAAAAGAACTAAAAACTCCAAAGTTAGTGCCTAATGGATTAAATATGGATGTCTGTTATTCAGTGGTCATGTTTAAATTGATAATTGCGTAAATTCTAGATTTAGTGAGAAAAACTAATATTAGGTTAAGCCATTTGGCCCACAACTTCCGGGTTTGTTTGTTTACATCCATCTTACTGCCCTAGCTCTAGAATGTGATTATTACAGCCCGACAGTTTTACAGCTGTTTACCTTTATAAAACTGACTAGAATGTAGGCCTAAGCTTTTTGTAATAGGTACTATTTTTCTTAGGCCTATTTGAGTACAATAAACCTCTTTACAAATTTATCATTACTTGCCTTACATGAGTTTGTTTTTATTATGGCTTTAACTTATTTTCTAAAATAATTGTTCATTGATACATTTTCAAAAAATTTTTGTTTTAACTAGCAATACAGCTGTGGATTAATACTGCCAAAAATATGTAACATTAATGACAACCAAATATTTCTCTTTTGATTTCAGCTGACCAATGGAGTTTACAGACAGTGAAATTCGTGAAGAATTAGCACGTCTGGGTTACAGAGATGTTCCAGATGAGAAGCTAGCTGAATTCAAAAAAGGTATTTCATTTTTCACAAGGTAAAGGTATAAGCCTGTTTCAGGATCCTAGTTTGGTCAACAAGTATTAATCAGGTATATGACTTAATTTTTTTTTCCTGTAATGTACGATATCTTTCAAACAAAATACAGAAAATTTTCTTTAATGTTGTCTATTGATATAATAGGAAATTCATTTTTCCTGAGACATCTCATTAGTGATAATCTTATGTACAGTGTTGGTTTATTTGTGTAATCTACTCCCTTTTTTCAAAATAAAAGTAGCTCAAGATTAATTTAAGGACTCTACAAAGTGACTATTACTAGCTAACCCACAACTGTGTGGTGCAAAAGTTATTTCTTAGTTGTAACTCATCAGTAGTCTTAAAAAGCAGTTTCTCATGCTAACATTACATAGGCTACACTAATCAACCCCATGAGACAGGGTAAAACTGTTCAGTTTATTACTAACATCTTGATCTTGCATCTAATCTAATAACTGGTACAATTTTATTGAAACTATTTTGTGAAGAAATGTTTTTAAGTTTGTTGTTGATTACTCATTTTTCAGACCTCTTAAAGCTCATTCATGTGGAGAGAAGTAAGACAAATTCTCTCAATAGCAGCAGTGATGAGTCCAAATTTGAAAGTCAGTTTCCAAAGTCATCTTATGGTAATTGATGTTTTCACCATAGTTTTAATGCTAGTTCAAGTTTGCGTCTTTCTACACTATGTTGTTTATGACCACTCATATTTTTTTTTCTCCTTTAATTATAGCTTTATGGCAATGCACAAATTATTAATTTACATAAGTATTGGCTTAACTTCAAATGAATAATTGAATGTAACTTCAAGAATTTTACTTTTTCAGAACCTAGAGTGAATTTTACTGACAATCAGACAATTCATTATCCAGGAACAGTAAGTTTTAGAAAATGTATTTTAACAAAAGGGTGATTTTTAAATAGTAAGAATTTTCTAATATATAAGGTTAAAAAATCTTTAAACTACATAGTACAGATGTGTGGATCTATGTAGAAAATTCTGAATCAAACTTATTTGAATATGAATGTTGTAATTTTTTTTAATCATTTAAAGCACGGCCTGATTTTAACATTTTTTATACACAATAACAATCTTATTTTCCCAGAACTGTAAAGTAATAATTAATGAAATTATTGTTTTATTGCCAGAGTTACAGAGATAGGAAGGAATATACGAGCTATGGAGGGGACAAGTCGGCCCCCTCATCTAGATCTGACTACTACAGCAGCTCCAAGTCAAGTGTTCCTGGCGCCTACAGCTTGTACGAGATGCCTTCCTATGGCATGGGCTCCAGCAGCTATCATCCTCAAGTCAATGTAAACAACAGTGTACCTGATGAAGAAAAAGAATATGAGGCTGATACTGAAACAAAGAGTGTCAAAAGAAAAACTAGCAGGTGCTGTACAATTTTACTCACAAACTTTGTGCTTGAATAGAGCTAATTAATTTTTTGTTTGCAATTTTACTCACAAACATTGTGTTTGAATAGACCTAATTAATTTTTTTCACAATTTTACTCATAAACATTGTGTTTGAATAGACCTAATTAATTTTTTTCACAATTTTACTCATAAGCATCGTGTTTGAATAGACCTAATTAACTTTTTTCCACAATTTTACTCATAAGCATCGTGTTTGAATAGACCTTATTAATTTTTTTATTGTGTTTTGCAAGAAAAGTTTGAATATGCATAATTAATTTTTTCCCACTGTTATCCAGAAATATTGTGTTAGTAAGATAGGCTTTAAGTTGAATATACCTAATTTATTGTTTTTTCATTATCCAGAAAAGCACCCAATGGAGATAGAGTAGTTGATGAATCCTTCAATGGCAGTGATGTTGGTATGTTAAAATTTTAAACTGTGATGTAATTTTACTGCCAAATAACAACCCACAAGTAAAAACAATTTTGATCCTTCTGAACTATTTAGAAGGTTTTCAATATATGGTGAAATATAGATTTGAAAAACTACAGAACATAATTTTTTGGGTTTTTTTCTTTTAATTTAATCCTGAACTATTATGATTTGTATCCTTTTAATGTATATTTACTAAATAATATCTAAGTTTCAAGTTGTTGTTTTTTTGTTTTGTGTTTGTATTTTGAACAGCTGGTATCTATGAAATTTTGTATTTTGAACAGCTGGTATCTATGAAATTTATGAAAAAATCAAAAACTTGGCCATGAGAGACTGTGAGTGTGGGAAAACAAGATCCATGTCAGCAATGACTGAGGTTAGTACAACAGTCAAAACTTGTGTGCCACTGTTGTACTTTTTTGTGCTACTGTCTAACCTTTTGTGCTACTGTCAAACCTTGTGCTATTGTCAAAACTTTTGTGCTACTTTTGTACTTTTTTGTGTCACTGTCAAACCTTGTTGTGCTACTGTCAAACCTTGTACAACAGTCAAACCTTTTGTGCAACTGTTGAACTTTTTTGTGCTACTGTCAAACCTTGTACAACAGTCAAACCTTTTGTGCAACTGTTGAACTTTTTTGTGCTACTGTCAAACCTTGTACAACAGTCAAACCTTTTGTGCAACTGTTGAACTTTTTTGTGCTACTCACAGACCTTGTAGTGCCAAAACTTTTTAGTTTTATATTTTTAAATTTATATCACTCTCAGAACTTTTTTTTTTTTTTCAGCCTCCATACCGCATCAATGGGGTCAATAAAAATCCATCAGGTAAATTTTCTCAACTTGATTTGAGTGGCATTCACTGTTTTGTTCACTTAAAACATGTCCTTTTTTCATTATCAAATTTGCAAAATGTCAGTATTTCTTTGTTAATATGCAATAAGCATTCATTTAATCATGATATACATGAACCTTGTTTACATTGCCATGAAGTTTAGAAGTTCAAAATGTAAGTTCAACCAATATGGTTTTCAATATTTGTTTCAGTCATTAAAATGGGCCAGCCACCTCACACAAGAAACTTAAAGCGCACTGTCCCCTTCAAACGTCATCAAATGTACCAGCGGCTGTGGAAGGCCCAGCCAGCTATAGGGGAAGATGTCCGACATCATGTACGGAAGGATGTACATAATAAGATGCTCAAGAGAGAAGATATCAAGGTAGGTCTTCATCAGAGGCACTTACACACATGTTGTATAGCTATAGGGCATAGGGGAAGATGTTAGACATCATGTGCGGAAGGATGTACATAATAAGATGCTCAAGAGAGAAGATATCAAGGTAGGTCTTCATCAGAGGCACTTACACACATGTGGGAACATGAAAATCTTATTTGATGTTGGTTGTACATAATACAAGTATACTTAAAATGGCTGTTTCCTTATTCTGTTGTATGCTTTAATCTTGTTAAAAATTTAAACTGGGTACAAAACACTCCCCCTCATGAAATTTTTTTTAATTTTTAGAGTTTTGTTAACTTGCATGTTTCTTTTTCTGCAGGTATTTCATAAGGTGTATGTCCCCAACTCATACGTGGTTCCCACAGAAAAGCCACGCTTCAACCTGCGATGGAACGTCCGTAAAGCCAACGCCGTATATGCTATGCCTCCTCACGGATTCTACCATGAGATTTAACCCTGTCTGATTTGTGAGGCTTCAGTAGGAGGTCCATAAATACATTTTGAATGGCTCAAACTAGGATGTGTATATCAATGTAATATTCATTTTTAATCTTTCTCTGAACTTCTCATTTTTAACAAAACAAATAAAAAATACATTTTAAAATCCTGTTTCCCATCATAACTGTTGCAAGTCAAATGATGTTTTTAAACTTCTGGTAAGGACCTATTTTTATCTGTAATATAACATTTGAACTATTGTATGTACTCATGTAACAAGAGTGACATAGAGTTAGCTAACATCAATTAAAGTTGTAAAGATTCTTGCTACAGGTGTATGGTTTGATCATGCCAATACAAGATTTTGATGCAATGTTGGTTGTATTGTTTTCATTTTTGGAGCATCAAATCAATAAATGACTTCTTATCATTCTTATTACCATTTTGTTGAAACAAAGTAAGGAGATAGAAATTTGTTTGACTTTTTTAATCATAAAAGGAAGTTGAATTTACATGCATTGGCATTCAATTGGTGAGGGTATTTTATTAAACAGGAGAAAGACATACTGTATTGTGGTATATACATTAGCTGGGGACAGTCTACATTTGTGGTTCATTTATACAGCATTAACTGGGGATAGTATATTTTTGTGGTTTATGCATTAACTTGGGATAGTATATGAGGTTTATACATTAGTAGTTTATACATTAGTGGTTTATACATAATGGGGTCAGTCTACATTTGTGGTTTATACATAAGCTGGTGGTGGGGACTGAGAGACGACAGCAGGGGGTGGGGATGGCTGAGGAACGGCAACAGTTGTGTAGGGTGGTGGCGGTTCTTGTGTGTGACCTTGCTGAGAGTGATCTTCCCCTTGGTCCTGGTTGGTGAGGGACTCGTACGCTGGGGGTGAGAGGGTGATCTGAAGCAGCTGTTCCTGGATGTAGTTGTGGGCGATGGTGATGGACGAGTAGGGTGGGGGCTGGGTCGTGTGACATATGATCCCGTTCTCCCTGGCCTGGTCCCTGAACCTCTGGATGGCGCCAAGCTTGACCACGGTGCCAGACACGAGTAAACAGAGAGAGCCCAGGAGACTCAGGTAAAATGAGTACCCGAGCTCCTGGTTGGGGAGTAGACCTGAGACGGCTGAGATGCTTCTGACTAGGTAGATGATGTCTCCAGTGACGCCGCACATACCTGTAGGGTCAATGTTTAGTTGATGTTACATGATACAACACTAGAAGTTTAATAAATGTCTGACGATACAAAACTAGAAGGTTAATTCATGTCTGATGATACATAACTAGAAGGTTAATTATTCATATTGCTATTAGTTGATAAAAGCATGCCAGTAAAATTAAATAAGTAAATAAAAATAAATAGCTGAGAACTATGCGTTTACGTTAAATTTGTCACAACTAATGATGAGTACTCTTTAAAGCTGAATTAGCTCAGCTAACCTTTAAAGATCCATAGCTGAACTTTGAAAATAATCACAAGGTGTATTGTAAATCAATAACTATACACTAGATCTGTGTTTTAAAATTGATATTGTTTTAAAATAAATATTCTCTAAGGCATACAACTTCATAAAATGCAGTTGGACTAAAGTACACGTCCACTTACCGGCTGCCGTCATGACAAGCCAAATGAGCTTAGTCAGATACAAGAGGGTGTCACTTAATATAAAGGCCATGGACGCAACAGATGCGATAGAGGCGACAGTAGCAAGCGCCACAGCACACAGCATCAGAGTAAAAACATCTTTATCTGCAACATTCGACAAAAAACATCAGGATAAAAACATTTTTATCTGCAACATTCAACAAAACAGGGTAATAACATCTTTATCTGCAACATTCAACAAAACAGGGTAAAAACATCTTTATCTGCAACATTCAACAACACACATCAGGGTAAAAACATCTTTATCTGCAACATTTGACAAAATGGTAAAAACATCTTTATCTGCAACATTCAACAAAACAGGGTAAAAACATCTTTATCTGCAACATTCAACAAAACAGGGTAAAAACATCTTTATCTGCAACATTCAACAAAACACATCAGGGAAAAACATATTTATCTGAAACATTCAACAAAACACATCAGGGTAAAAACATTTTTATTTGCAACATTCAACAAAACAGGGTGAAAACATTTTTATTTGCAACATTCAACAAAACAGGGTGAAAACATTTTATTTGCAACATTTAACAAAACTGGGTGAAAACATTTTATTTGCAACATTCAACAAAACAGGGTAAAAACATTTTATCTGCAACATTCAACAAAACAAAACAGGGTAAAAACAACTTTATCTGCAAGATTCAACAAAACACATTTTGTAGGGCAACGTTGAAACGAGAGAGCCAGTGGCGTAGCCAGGAATTGGTCATGGGAGGGGATCAAGTATGTTCTCCATATTTATAAAAGTATAAAATTATATATATATATATATATATATATATATATATATATATATATATATATATATATATATATATATATATATATATATATATATATATATATATTGTGACCTACTTAGGTCCAGTGATGTTTTATTTTGACATTGTATAATACCTTATATGGATTGATGGTGCAACTACCGGGGTTTTTCCACTGTCTTATTAAGGGTGTCTAAGACTAAGAAATTTTCCATCAAGATCTGATTGATTGATTCTGATCAGATGACCATCCCAACCAATGGCTACATGAGTTGAGGATAACCTCCCCTGTTGCATAAGTCTTTAACTGGATCGCACACACGCAACACGAGGCAGTCTACCTTGATCAAACGGTCTATTAAGACCAGGCCGTCCATTTTGTCCGGCAATAGATTCTGACCATTTGAACGTGAGAGAACTTAAGTCCTGAGTGTGCTATGCTTTCTTAAGCTGTTTTAGTCTTCTAGTATAATATTACTTGTCGCCAAGTGATTCTTGAAGCTATAGCAGTGTTGTGTGACCTGTGGCTATTTTTATACAGTGTTAAAATCTGTGATAGTGTTTTTTCTTACGCTTTGTAAGTTGGGTTTTGTTATTTTCTAAATTAAATATTTTATCTCGTTTAACCTAGTGTTCTGCCGCAACTGTGTTCGCTTATTAAAGGTTGTATGCAGATTGAATGAGTTGTTAACTTCAATAGTATCACTAGTTTTCCCTAGACATCGAGATCGAGCCCTAGTGTGTTGTTGAGTTAGTGTCCATTCATTTAGGCTTTAAGTCATTTGCATATAACCCCGAAAAAAGAATCCGGGGACGTTCACCATCTATCTGGCTGGTAGATAGGTAAACGTTACAAAGTGGGGGCTCGTCCGGGATTTAATCTGTCGTTCCAGTTGTTGGTTATATCAGTTAAACACTAAGTTTAGTTTGATTTAGTTGTTTTTCTATCCAGTGGCGCCGTGTTCTTACAACGCGCGCAGGCTAGAGGTATCTAGGTCAAAAGCCAGACGTGTCACGATAGGAGGTCAAGTACACGGCTCAACGCTCCGTGTTAATTTAGAGAATCTAGGCTTGTTGTGATTTTGAAAGTTAGTGTTATGGAGTCTTTTTTATCTAATCCCACTTTTGAGGAGGTAGAGAAGTTGAGTAGAAAAGTTTTGATTAGTGTTGTTAAGGAATTGAAATTGGATTATTCTGTTACGCAGAAGTCAGAGGTGTTGAGAGATAAAATTGTTGTTCATTTTATTAATGAAAGGGTCTTTGATGAAAGTTTGTTGGCTGGTGTGTTACTCCGTGAGGAGAAAGTTGCTTTAGAGAAGGCATTAAAAGAACAGGAGTTAGAGGTTAAAATTGCTTTAGATAAGAGGAGGTTGGAATTAGAATTTGGTAAAGTTAGTGATGTCACTTCTCTGGTAGATCCAAAAAAGTTGTCGGTGGGGCAAGTGATTGCCAAATTTGGGAAATTAGTTCCTAAATTTGATGAAACAGATTTGGTCGTTTTCTTTAACTCATTTGAGAGTTTAGCGAAGACATGTGAGTGGCCCGAAACCTCCATTACTGCTTTATTGAGCTCGGTCCTTACTGGGAAAGCTGCAAAAACATACCAGGCACTCTCTCACGACGTTCAAAATAACTATAGTTTGGTCAAGACTGCCATTTTGAAGGCCTACAACTGACGCCCGAGGCCTATCGGATGAAATTCCGAGCACTCCGCAAGTTACCCACTCAATCATATGTGGAATTTCTCTTTGAAAAGGAGAAAATATTCTCAAGGTGGCTACACTCTGAGGAAGTTTCTGAGTTTGAGAAACTCAGGTCACTTATCCTAAGGGAAGAATTCCTAACGTCCCTGCCTGAAGAGATACGACTACACATACTGGATAACAAGATAATTGACATCCAGAAGGCTGCTGAGTCGGCTGACACATATATGTTGGTGCATAAGAAACCACCAGTGTCAGGAAACCGCCTCAACCCCGTGCTTCCCCTTTTTGGCAGCAATCCTCCTGTTGGCCAACACGTGAAGGCATTACAGTCCAGAGAGAAACCAAGATCAACTCTCAATCGTCGAGCAGTATGCCAGTTCTGCAAAAGACCTGGTCATCATGTCAAGGACTGTTACAAACGTCGTCAATATAACAGAGAGGTAGTGCGTACTTCTGCGCACTATGCTCTATCCCCTCAAGCAGCCAGTTCAACTATGAACTCTAGAATTCTAAAGGACTCTAACCCTAAGTGTCCGCAAGAAGGTAGTCAAGTCTCCACACATTATGTGCAGTCACATTTTGACTGTTCACGCCACCATCCAGTTTCTTCCGAGTCTACCGATCTCGAGGGATCGAGAAAAGTTGACTTTTCATCTTTCATTGCCGAAGCTATCATTAGCAAACCAGGTGATCCGTTGTCTCAGAAGAATATCACCGTCCTAAGAGACACAGGAGCGTCACAATCACTTCTTTTGAAAAGTTCAATGGACATTACACCTGAGACGAACACCGGAAGGATTTCCATTATCCAGGGAGTGGGGACAAAATCTACTGTCGTCCCTCTACACAAGTTTGCCCTGAAACATCATCTCGTCGAAGGTGAAGTCATTTTAGGTGTGATAGATAGTATTCCTGTCCCAGGAGTACACCTACTTTTAGGGAATGACCTTGCGGGAAGCAAAGTATACCCCTGTACGGTTTCAGACCCTTTGTCAACAGTTCCAGATAATGATAATGAACTGTATCCTGCATGTGCGGTGACAAGAAGCCAGACCAAACAATTGGCTGACACCACACCTACCATCATCGTCAAGAGATTCGACTCCCAAACTGGAGTCTATGCTTCCAGAAAACACAAGCCTGGGCTTACCCCTGAGGATATCTCAGGAAGACATCATTAAAGCTCAACAAGTCGACGCGGAACTCAAGGCAATGGTCGAAAAATCTCTATCATCTGACGATGGGGAATATTTCTCCGAGAACGGCCTCTTCTTT